AAGTGTGTATTTAGGCCTCGTTCACTTCGCGGATTCGAGTTGAGATGTGACATTTTCTAAGAGCTTTTCACTGTAACAGAAAAATTTAGATGTGACATTTTCTGAGAGCTTTTTACTGTAAAAATCTAGAACTGAAAACTCAAATCGGTTAAATGAACGAGACCATAATATGTATCTCATATTATTCAAAGAAAAAGAAAACAAAAATTTGAAGCTCATTGTCTTGTGAATTTTTTTGTTAATCTTTAGTATCATAATTCATAATATTCAAAAAATAATAATAATGATTGATTTTGTCCTCTTTTTTTTTTTTTTGCGTTTTCTATAAAATTGCATGTTTTTTCTTTTCATAATCTTTTGTTTGGCTTATGTTGTTTTGCTATTGCAATATTTTATTTCTCTTGTTGTTTTGTCTTTTTTTTTTTTTTTTTTTTTGCACATAGCTTCATTGATATTATAAATTTTTTGTTGCCATTTTTCATTTTTTATTTTTTTGAGTTTGTTATTGCATAATTTTTTTCTGAATTGTTTATTTTTCTGTTTTCTTTGTTTGGTCATGGAAAAAGTCTTCATACCTAACGTTTCAATAATAATAATAATAATAAAAGAGACAGATAGAGAAATTACACTATTTAAGTAACATGTTTAAATGAAATGGTAGGTAGGCGTGAAAAGAAGAATAAAGTGATTAAGAATTAAATATTTTTTGAAATTAATTGGGGGTAAATTTAAAATAATTGGGGTGCATAATAAGTAAATTTAATCTTTTCAAAATAATATGGAGCGTGTATTTAGAAATGGGTTATGGAGAGTAAAAGTGTGTAACACAGCTAATTTTTAAGAAAAAAACTTCTAAAATTAAATTTTAATTTTTTCACACTGGTAAAATAATATATATTATATATGTTCCCTACAAAAATGAAAATATATGTCACATACCATAATTAAATTGGAACCAAATTTTAATCTAATCACTTAATTAGGCCGACACTCCAAATAATAATAAGAAGAGAGAGAGAGATTGTTTTTCCTAATATAAACAGAATTGCAATTGCGTAGGTTGCTTTCCTTATTTGGGTTGATTTATTTTCCAATATTATTTTAAAGATTATTTAATATTTACTTTGTTTTTTTAGGTTTCTTTTATCTTTTTCTTGTTTTGCCTCCGTGACGGCTCTAATCAATAATTTTGTTTTTAATTTTTCACCATCGTTAGTCATAGCGCATAGGGACTTTCTTTCCCTCAAGGATTCTTGAGTTCAAATTATGAGCACTTGGTCAATTGGCACCAGGTTCAATCCCTCATGATAATAATAATAAAAAAAATAAAATTCTTTCTTCAAAAACCAATGAAGAGACAAGAGACCAATTTTTTTTTTCTTTTTTCCTTTTGCCCTTGGATGACTAGTTCTAATTCTAAATGGCTAATAATGCAACACATTTGAAAGTTGGGTGGCAAATTGATAAAATTGGAAGTTAGGGGGCTAGTTTCCAAACCCTCCAAGTTAAGAGATAAATGTAATGCTAATACTAGAACGACAACAACCACAGGAATACGACATCAACATCAAAGTTCATCAAATGTCGGACAGTTTGGAGATCATGGTATAATATCATCCCTTACAACAACTCTCAACTGCGTTTTGCTCAGTAAAACTTCTTTTTTGGTGGGTTCATATATTTTAATGATTACATTCCCACTATTTCTCATAATTTCAGTCACAATTACTGGTTCATATATATATATATTAGTCAGACATTAAATTTGGGCTTGGGTTTCTGTTCTTTTCCTTGATCAAATTGCTGAAAATGTTGTCTCGGTTCTTTAATTTTTTTGCTAATAACTTGTGCAATAATTGTGAATGAAATTTTCTTGGCTATATAATTTGGCAGCAGAAAAGGGAAAAAAGACGAGACTTAGAATCCGACAACTAGCAGAATAAATTCAGTTCTTCACTATTAGCAGTTAATAACAAAGTATCAAGTCCTTTTTAGAATAACTGAAAACGGAGTATTACATTTCATTTGCAAGAAAAGGATCCTAGTAGAACTCGGATAGTCACAAATACATTAATCTATTAATTTAAGTTAACAATGCAGAAAAAATCCAGGTCATTATGTTATTAATATGATATTGTAGATTTGCAGTACTTCCATGGAACCGAATAACGTGAAGGTGACGAGATGGAGCAGACTCCAAAAGTAGAAATATAGTTCTTTGTTTTTTTTTTTTTTTTTTTTTTTTTTTTTTTTAAATAGAGTAAAACGGAGAAATTCTATTAAGATGATAGCAAAACGAGCAAGAGTATGTGCCACCCCCATTCACATGATCCCCAGGGGCCCAAATTACAAACAGAATGAAGAGCAACAAGCGAATCACACATATCAACACAATAGATCCATGGATGATGCAGCGGAATGGATATATAGAATGAGATTTTACCAGCTTAATCTAGGCGGAAGACGGGACTCAACGGTTCAAGTATAGGGAAAACCCCTAAATTTAAGAGGAAACTCAACTCTAATTCAATTATCAAAATATTCAAAAATCTCTCTAATACAATAGTGAAGTGGCATTTATAGTCTACTCATAAAACGATGACAAAATACAAACTAAGATAAACGATGAATTACTAATAACAAAATATAGCTAAATTAGAAAGCTAGAACAAACGATAATAAAATATAAGAAACGACTACTAATAACTGAATCTCTCTACATCAATGGAGGGCCTAAAAAGCTCCTAGCTAGCATTTACATCAGCAATCACCTTACTTGCGTTGGACTTGGCAAGACTAACCATCCAGGGTTGGCTAACGGTGAAAGATGGTCCCTTCCGAAGAGCCATACATTCAGCCCCATAAGGTCAACAGCAATCCGCCATCAACTTGGAGAACGCACCCAGAACAACTCCGCCAGCATCTCGAAATCACACCCCCCGGAGCAAAAACATCCACCGGAAGTAGTTTATAATTTTTGCTATAAATTATATCAAGTATTTTACATAGTTCTATTCCATGCACGAGGACTGCATAACGTTAAGACAATATATGGTACGATAAATATTGCTGAAATAGAGAAAAATTACTAGACAAGGAAATATTGTGACTTTAGACTAATTAAGATAAGAGTAACAATAATTGAGATTACTATGGCCCTTCATAACATATGAACCTTTAGTGCCTATTTGACAAAACCAATCTTTGTTCTTTCCTCCTTTGATGCCTTCATTTCTTTTCCTTTTCTTTTGTATGTAACATTCAATTTTTTTTCTTGAACTTAGTTAGGTGTCAACTTAATTTGAGATATAACTAGATTTATTAATAGTTGATATATACTTTTCATTATTCCTTTAATTAAAATTTTTCAATTTTTTCCTATTTACAATCTCTCTTAAAGACATGTATGGATGGCTATGGATTTAGTCCCACATCGCCCGTCGCTAGTTGTGTTTGCGCCGCACCATCCTATATTAAGGGGCGTTGTTAGGTTATGCAAGTGTCTACCCGCTAATTAATTATATTATTCGTGCCTACTTAATTTTTGTAATAAACATAACATTGTGTGTAGGGCTTCCATCTTTGACACAAACAAGAGCATTGCCCTCTATTGAATGCCGAAAGCCGCCGGTATGTGCTTCTCTGTCTATCCCTTTTTTGTTTTTAAATAATTAGGTGAAGCAAAATAGAGTAACTTTTAAATAATTAAGGCTGTGTTTGCTAGGAGGAAATAATAGATGGAGAGAAATTGAGAGTATTAGTTGATAGATTATGAGATCTATGGTTGTTTAGTAAAGGGATTATGGGTGAGAGAGATTAGGTTTGAGATTCAAGATCCTTACTGGAACTAGAATTTTCATCCAACAATAAAATTTTTCATCTCCTCACTTTTTTTCTTACCTAAGTTATATCTTCTCTCTTGTTCATTCCATCCAACAAACATAGCCCAAAAGGCAAACTATTAATGTCTAAAAAAACAACAAACTACTAAAACATTATGAGCAAAATTAACAATATACAAGAAAATTTGACTACAAATCATACAAAACTTGTATGAAATTTCTTTAAGTGATAGAAGGTTAGAAATTTTATACATATTGTAGCATCTTAAAAAAAATGTAGCATCATTACTTATGTTCATGCTGATTGACCAAATGCAATTTTAGTTTTTAAATACTTTTTCGCGATGTTTGTTATTGATAGGCCTTATTGTGAGATACTGTTTTTTTTGTTGAGTTTCATCTAAAACTTTCCGCTGACCAGCTTAATAATTTGAGGATCATGTGTTTTATTTTGGAGAATTGGATGAATTTGGAGGATGACCAGCTGTGAACCTGTAATTTTTTTACTAGATTATTTGATTATACATGTATCTGTTTGCGGCCTAAAAATACATCAAAATCTGTAAAGGTCTAGCGAAGACATTGAATTAATGTTAGTTTGTCATCCTCTAAGCTTGTAATAATTTGTTTAATTCCAAATTTTTCATAACGAAGGAATTGTTCTCTACTTGAATTTTGTTTTGGCTAACATAAGATAATGAGCAGATATTGTCCTAACCAGAGTAACTAGTATAGAAATAGTACTTATAAAAGACAACTGAAAACAAGTAAATTAAGTTGAAAGCTGTGATACATGTGAATAAGCTATTGAATACTTGGTCGGAAATTATATCAGAAACCAATTGAAATGTTGCAAACAAAAAAGTCCTTTTTTTTTTTTTTGAGTCTAATAAACTCCTTTTCAATCATTGCCATGACAAGTTTCCCTTGGTAAATGATTTTTTTTTTGTTTTTCAATTTTGTTTCGTAAAAAGCTGTGTTTGATTGATTTCAATAATTCATTGAACTAGAATAACATGTTTACGCTAAACCTTTAGAAATTAATAATATGAGATTCTACGAAAATTAGGTGGCGGATGTCATACGAGAATTTTAATTGTTGTCGGCACTGATCAAACTTTTCTCCTGATATCTTACACAGATTTTTCCCCTCTTGCAATGGATTATAAGAGAAGAGCAGTAACAACCGGCAACGGAAAAGATGAAGAACGAAATCCAAATACTGCGGGGGTGGACAGAATTTCAACCTTATCCAATACTCTAATTCACCGCATCCTCTCGTCTGTTTCGACCGTCGATGTTGTTCGTATGAGCATTCTCTCAAAGCGCTGGAGTAGGATGTGGTACACGGTGCCGCATTTGCGATTTTACGATTCCGATGCTGGCTTTCGAAAGTGGAAAGTGTTTGATAATTTCATGGCTAAGTGCTTGGAACGCCGCGAGATAGGTATGAGCAACAATACTAGTTGCGCCGTGACTAAATTTAAGCTTCACATCAAGCATTTTTGGTGCCGGGACGAGAATCTACATAGGTTGTTACACTCTCCGGTTATTCGAAACAATGTGGAGGAACTCGATCTTTCTATGGAACCGAAATACAACGGGGCCGTATGCTATTGTTTACCTTACACAGCACTCAATGGAAAATCTATAACTGTTCTGAAGCTGAATCATGTGGAGTTGGAAGATAGCGACAATTTTTCGGTAAATCTTCCGAGTTTGAAATCTTTATGCTTAGAGGAGGTTATAGTGAATGATGTGACATTATCCAAACTGTTGTTGGGCTGTCCGTCTCTTGAGAAATTGATGTTGAAGAAGTGTCCTAAACTGTTCAATCCTCGAATTTTGAGTTCGAGCCTCAAATTCTTCGAAATGGAGGGATTTATTCGTCCTAGTCACAAAGAACTACAAGTTGAAGCCATTAATCTTCAAACTTTAGTACTCAGAGCCCTCTATCATGGACTCAACCTTTGCGAATGCAGCGCGGTCAGGACTCTTTCGATTCACAGCATTCCAAATATGAGGGGCGAGTCCTTGGAAGCTATCATCTCTAAGCTTCCCCTCCTTGAGGATTTGAGTTTAAGACACTGCGATCTATTGAGACACTTCAAAATCAGCAGCAAGAGCCTCAAGAGTTTCACTTTCGCAAAATTTTCTCGGGTTGAGGTGAATGCCACACTGGAAACACCGAACCTAGTGTCGTTTTGTTACACGGGCGATATGAAATTCGGAGTTTCGATGGCCTTGCCTAATGATTCACTCATGAATGGCCACATCAAAATCAATGATTGCATTATCTACGAGGCCTCGAACCTGTACAACAAGATGATAAAATTTCTTTCGAGTATCAATTTCTCTTGGAATATATTGACCCTGGAAGTTAGATCAGAAGAGGTATAATCTCCTATTTATTCGGAAATTTCTCGGTAGGGCACTTTTTCTTTCCCCCCCTTATGGGTAGAGCAAGCTTTTGTTGCCATCAGATAAAATTTTAATGGTCGGATCAATGAGTGAGAGAACTTTTGCGTCATATGATGCATTATCTTAACTTGGACACTCATAATTCCGTCCGTTAAAATGTATTAATCCGATTGTTAAAAGGACTTGCTATACTAGTAACACAAAATATTAATGCCCTACAATAGAAATCTCCTATTAATTTGTACTCTTATTTGTATCTTTTTTTTTATCCTTCTAATTGAGTAGTTATATTTTCATAATTTTGTCTCTGGTTATGACAATTGTTTTTAAAAATAAAACAAAATTTACGGACATGTTGTTATTAACTTATTATTGTGGCTAATTTTGGAGGATCTCATTTTCCCGGAAGAGTTGAGAAAAACTTGTGGTTCGCCACTGACCAAGATCAGGCATCTGAAGGTTAAGACACTTCTGAGATTGAACAAAAAAACATCATCAGACTTGAGAGACTCCTTGCATTGGGCTTCACCTGATCTGGAAACGCTGGACATTGAAGATGGAGGGAAAGGCGATGACGACGTATCGGATTTCGGAAACTGGATGTTTCGCACTAATTGAAGCTGATGATGATTAGCAAGTTTCTGAGGTTTGTTTATTAGAACCTAGTGTGGGAATAATACGAGTCCTTGAGTACTGTAGTAAGTTTTGTGGTGCTTTTACTTTGTTGAGGAACTCTTTTTCACATTTAAAGTTTTCTATCGTGGTGTTTCCCTTTGAATCATTTGTGTGTTGGACCCGTTTAGTTCACTGATTCGAATTTTTAATTTAAATTTATATGTGACTTTATGTAAGAGCTTTTTACTCTAGGATAAAAGTTAGATGTGACTGTTTTTTAAAATTTTTTACTGTAATAAAACTCGAATTCTAAACTTGAATCGGTGAAATGAACGGAGGTGTATTTGGTTTACGACGGTATATTTATATCATCTGGTTTCTCTCTGCAACCGTGAAGTAGGCACGTTTTCCTCTTTTCGGCTCTTCTTGTTTCTTAATTTAATACTAATATTTATGTTTCTCATTTAATATACTAATATTTATGTTTCTCTAAACATTTGAATTTATGGATCATATAGTAGAAATTTACGGAGAAATTTACGGAAAAATTATTCATTAAACTCAGTTAGCACTGTAGATGGCGGTATCACTGCGAGGAATTAGGGACAATAATTGAGGATGTGATGAGGATAGGAACAAAATCTTATTCCCGAATCACCATCCACCGATTTACATCTGCTATACATTTTATATAAAAATATATACATATATTAATTTTTTCACGATTATTAGGTCTACGTAACTATTAATTACCGGAACTTTGACTAATAAAAATGACAATTACTAAATACTACTAGTAATATAAGAATGTGTCTGTATATGTTTAAGAGTATGATTTCTTTTCATATAATCTTTTTTTGGTCTAAATTTATAGTAAATTTCTTCTTTATTTTTGTTTTAAGTTACTATAATTTTAAAATGTATAGTTATATGTGATGAATTGATAGAGAATGAAGCGGATATAGATCCCTTAAAATTAAGAGTATGAATTGAATTAGATCCCTTAATTGGTCTCAGTTGGTTTGAAAATAAACTAATTTATAATTGATGTGATTTGCATTTCACCTAAAATAAGCAGTTTGGTTGGGTTGCACATCCCTATTGGAAAACTGCAATTCACTACAAGAAAAATGGCTATTAGCGACGACAAAAAGTCGTTGCCAAAAATACAAAGTTGTCACAAATGAATTTTTAGTGACCACTTGTCGTCGCAAACCTGTCGCCGCAATTAATTCGTCGCAAAAACAATTTTTGCAATAATAAGCAATTGTCACAATTATATTTGCAACGACAATCGTCGTAAATGAGTCGCTACAATTATTTCACCGGATATATCGTTTAGATGACATGACATTGAGTACTTGCGATGACATTTTACGAATTATATCGTCGCAAAAGATGCAAAATTAGCTAATGTGGCTTATATTTTTTATGACCACATTTATTGTCGCAAATAATATTTTAATTTTTTATTTATATTTTCTCATTTTAATAATTAATATTGTATATTACTATATATTTAAATCCAATATTAAATATAATTCATGATATTATAATAATAAAGAAGAATTAAATAAAAGGAAATAAATAATAAAAATAAAAATAAAAATTATTATTATAAAATGTAATTAATAATATAAAATAAAAATGTAATTATAGTATAAATGTACAGAAATAAAAATTGCTATATTAACAAAAATCTAATCTCCTAAATTAGCAACATCACTAAAATTATGGTCGTTATCATCGGAAGGATTCGGAGGCGGATAACCTGAACGGACATACGGCACAGGAGTAATCGCTAGAAAAGTCATGTTGAAGTGCATTTGAGTGATGAAGTCTTGCATCATTCTAACGCTCTCGTACAGCTGGAGGTTTTGTTAGTAACTCTGTTGCAAGTATTTTACTACGTGTGAGTCCGAACGTGTATGGGTTGTATGCTTAGGCAGCTGACCAAGTCCGTGTATGTATCTGGAACGCTTGCCGCGTACTTCTCGAACAATGTCATCTTGAGACATAGGTTTGGCTGGAGTACCATCATCATTTTGCCTGGGTTGTGAATCACGCCTTTGAATCATCTCCTCCTTAGGAGACAGATCTTTCTGCAATAACCCCAACATTTGTCAAAGCTATTTCTTACACGAAATACAAAAACAATATATATATATATATATAAGAGGTCACCACCATAGCAAATCTATGTGCTGCATGTGACTTTGACCAATGTCTGCTTAAATATTTCCGTTTCCCTCGATTACACTTGTTTTTCTCGGATATTTTTTGCAATTGTTCAGAACTCCAATAGTTGCAAAGGTACTCCCAATCTGCCTGACTACGAATTCTTTTCGGACATTTTTGCTTCACGGCCTCCGGATCAATTTTCCCACCCATAAGCTCCCAATGACAATGAAGCTCATACCGAAAGTCCCTCCAAAGTTTGTTCATCTGACGATCAATGGATTTTAATACCCTCTCACTATTGTCAAAGATGAACTTGATCTATAATTGAAAAACAAAGAAAATACTTTAGAAATTTGATAATAAAATAAATAAAGTTAAAGAGTCAAAAACTATATCCAGTTACCCTTAGTTGATCAATCATAGGTTTTTTCAATTCCTTATCAATCTGAATCCATCTAGTGACTTGCATCGGACATTGGCGCCGAACTATCTGCCCTATCTCACTTGCCCAGCTAGATGCATATGTACCCACTGCCACATCAACCTTTGTATCAAATTGAATTGGCATTTTGCCCCCTGGGATATCCTTCAAATGCCTATCAGTGCCTATAGAGCGTGATTCACCCCTTTTCCCTAC